CCAAATTTTAATAATTCTCAGCATGTTTATTTGCCCTAGCAGTCATGCAGTACTTCTGGAAAAATCTCACTACCCAGTTAAGTTTAGGGTCTCTCAATTCCTAGAAATGTATCCATATGGAAAAAAAGTAACTATGCACTTTCAAGATTATGTTACAAATAAACTATTTCAACAATATGAATTTCCACAAATTTTTGTTTAAAATTAAGATCCTGAAATTTAAAAATAGTGACCAAAACAAGCAGAAATCACTGTCGGTGCTGCAGGAGCCGAAACACAAACTTTGTTTACCCATTTCACACTTGATAGTAAAGTAAATAAATAACTTGCCTACCTCTAGGACCACAAGAAGCAGCTAGATGAAGCTAGCTGAGAAATTGTAAAAGCTATTTGCCCAGTATGATGGCGCATTCCTTTAATCCCAGAATCTGGGAGGCTGAGGCAGGAAGATTGCTGCAATTTAGGGGGCCACATAGTGAATTCAAGGCCAGTGTGTGATACATACTGAAACCCTGTATCAAAAATAAATGTTTATAAATCTGTTTAGTAGTAATTTAATGCAAGGTCATCAGGACACTTACTAGTAAAGTTGTTCTCCCAAAAAGAAGCCAAAGAATTTTATAATTTTTACCAAAAGTAAAACCAACACAGTGTTCTGCCTCTTATGCTAACTCCCCAAGGCATAAAACTTATATATTGAGCCAGGCGTGGTGGCTCATGCCTTTCATCCCAGCACTTGGGAGGTAGAGGCAGGTAGATCTCTGTTAGTTCAAGACCAGCCTGGTCTACATAGTGAGTTCCAGGCTAGCTGGGGCTACAGGGAGACTCTGTCTCAAAGAGACAAAAACAAAGAAACAAACAAAAATTTATATATTGTTCCTTAATAGGAACCATCAGTAGTTAGGGGGAAATGTCCTTGAGGCTATTACAGACATTTGAGGATAGTGAATCCCATAGAGCACTTTTCATTGGATGAAACAGTATACTGCTCTTAAGGTTAAAATTGCATCTTCAGATGTAAGTGAAATGACCCTAATTCCAACGCTCAAGGATTTAGTCACTATGACATTACACCTATCAGTTACAAGTTGGAAAATGAAGCCAACTAGTACTCAGCATACTGAAGAAAAACCAAAAGGCCAAGTACATGGTAAATGTCAAGGGGTGCTACTTTAGAAAGGTTGGCATGATCGGACACCTACATACATGTATAGGGGAACACTCTGGTCAAATACCTGGGTCAGGCATGTGTTTGACAAGTTCAAGGAACAGTAAAAGCTAGAGTCTAGAGATGGAGATAGGGGCACCAGAAATCAAGACAGAGCGGTTGATCTGTACCTTGATGAGGCCTGTCGACAATTCTGTGTGGTTGTGATTTTCAAGTGTGATGGAAGCTATTTTAGACTTGAGGGCAGGTCAAGTGGGTAGTTGTTCACTAAATTATTTTTAAAATGCAAAATATTGGAAAAATAAAACCCTTAAGAGCATTGTCCTAAATGTCATACAGAAAAACAGCATTTAAGTCAGTATGTCTTCTAGTTATGAAATTCTAGAATTTTGTATCGCTTGGGAGGAAGGAAGGAAGGGGGGAGGGAGGGAGCGAGGGAGGAAGGGAGGGAGGGAGGG